CCCCTTTTTTTTTTTTTTTTTTTTTTTTTTTTTTTTTTTAATTTGAGGGAGGGGGGGAAAGAGGAAGAATTTCATATGTACAAAGGCTGAAAAGTCTTTCTTTGTGAAGCTAAATTAGTTCAGGAAAACTGTATCAAAATTGTAATCACATTTACTGTAATACTGTCTTTTTACTTTTTTTTTTTTTTTTAATTACCACTGATCATATGAATGAATTTTTAGTTGAGTTTCCAACATGGCAGCTCTTTTCCTACAGCACGTTTGCACGGGCTGTCGTGAACCCAAAGAGAGTGAGGTTGGGTGCATTCTAGATTATGTCAATTCACAGTAGTAGCATTCCACTGAGGTTATGGGTTCTGCCTGCTCTGTCTGTCTTACTTGAGGAGCCATTCATTTACTGAAAGAGAAACAAAACAGAAACAATTATACTTTAATAAACTCCAGATATGAAACTGGCTGGATTTAACACTGTAATAGCACTTAAACAAAATCTCTTGAAAAAGCCGGGAGGTTCAGTTTCCTCCTTCTGGAAAAGAATTAAATTTGAATGACTGCTCCTTTGAAGTGTTGCAACTCAGTCATCAGTCTTGTTGCTGAAAATGTGCTTTCTTTTCCATCCTTCTGTAGTACTCTTTCATAACCATAATATTACTGGTAAGAAGGCACTTCTGCACCATTATTGCAGGCAATATAACTGTGCGTGCATAGGCTAAAAGATATGTAAGACACATTACAGCTTTGTTGGGAGCCCCCAGCCATGGCAGCGTAAGACTCTACCAGCAGGTGACTGGGCTGGTTCACGTGTTTAATATCCACTGCATAATACATCACTTTCTAATCTGAGGATTTGTTATGGTGGTGCACCCCCAGAGTGAAATTTATTGGTTTGAGATCAGCTGTCATCAAGACTAGCTCACCCCCCTTTTTCTCCAAGGTGCATAAAACAGAGCAAAATGCATTTTTTGAGGCAAGACTTTAAAATGAGGCTAGAAAACTGAAGGTCTGTCCTAGCTGCTCTTAAAAATTTATTACATGTCCCAGACACATTTTTGTCATGCTTTTCCTGCATGTTTCTGGCCAAGTTTCCACATCCATTTCAAATATGTAATGTTTGACTCATGCTGTTAGTCCCTCAGATCAGGAGTTTCATCTGGTTTTATTTGTATGCTTTACTATGCACTTGGATTTCTCTAAGAAAAGAGTTCAGTGTAAGCATGGAAAGGATTATTCTGGAGGCAGAACGTACCTCTATACTGTAGTTTCTGTGCTCTATTGTTTGGACAATCTTTTCCCTGTAAACTAAAGTTGATATTAGTTCGGATACATCGATTGTTGAGAGGCTGGACTGGTCTGAAATTGTCGCTCATGCTCAGAAATATCTGTGATGGCTGATTCTGGCTTAGCAGTCGTAAAGAATGCATCTATACAAAATACAAAACAAGCAGGTTTAGTACTTTCCTGTGGTCTTTCCTGTAAGTAAAAAATATACAACACTATTAATTAGACTACTAAATAAATGAAAGTTAAGCAGGATCTCAGTGATTTGTACTCAGAGGTAGATTGAAAGAGTTAACTTGAGGTAAAACCATTCCTTCTGTGGTCCTCTGTTTCCGAGCCCCATTTTAAACAAACTGAAGTAGTTTTGTGTGGACTAAATAAAAATGGTATGAGGTGTGTCCTTGGCTGATTAGGAAACAAATGGAACCCACAGTACTGGGTGACAGCAACTGGTGCAGAGAAAATGAACTTGATGAATGACAAGAGCTAATTTCCTAAGTTTTGTAGCTATTATTTTGTAGCTTCCAGCTGAGAAGACACAGTTTTGGATGATGATGCTCAAGTACTGGGTACGGCCAGTCAGAATGGAAAGGATAACTGACAGTCATGCTGCTGAATTAATGAAATTAATGATGTTAAAAAGTGAAATCCTCTCTCCGTTGGCAGGTTGGTCTGGATACTGTCTGTGCTGTGTCTGTAGTGTTCTTATGGTAGCCTCTGGCTTTCTTTTGAGATGGCTTCATGGAGCAGCAGAGAGAGGAACTGCTGAATCATCCAGGAATTTCAGTGTGCCCAGCAGTGGTTGGATGCAAACTGCAATGGACAGCAATGGTTCTTATGTCTGTGCAACTGTGCTAAAAGCCTGTTAATTGGTTCAAGTCAACCCAAACCTTTCAAACTTTGTATAGGAAACTGGAGAGGGAAAAAAAAAAAAAAGCTGCAATTTGTAAATCAGAAATTCTCAAAATACTTTTTTTTTTTTTTTTT